AAAGGGTTACATGTCGCTAGCTCAGGCAAACTTCCACAATTCATCTTCTGCCATCCGGTATGGACAGGACTGCTATGACGAACGTATGCAGGCTTTACGAAAGGTGTGAGTATTTTTCTTTCTACTGAGATGCCTTTCCCCCCAAGGGTTATATTCTTTCTGCGCCACAAGTTACACATACCTTAGATACTGTGTTAACACAATCCAGCCACATCGCTGAACATGGAAGTGCCAGAAGTGATCAACCCTACTTCTCCGTCTACTCACCATTCGCCACTACCCAGCACTCTGATCCCGAAAATACTTCAAACTCAACAGAGCAGGAAAACGAAGCTCAAGGATCCGACCTGCCCAAGCCAAAGGAAGATGACGCAAAATCCACTCTTGACCCAAACTCACAATCTTCTCAAAATTCAGAGAAAGCAAAAGGGGAGACCAATTCTACAGAAAAGCCCACAGATCCACTGAGATGGTTTGGTATCCTCGTCCCACCTGCTCTACGCACTGCGCAATCGACATTTGTAAGCGCCGTTGAGGGCCCAATCCCGCAACTTGTTACTATCTTGAGGGACCTACGGACGCAGGAGATCGAGATAGGAAGGATAAGGAAGCAGATCAAGAAGACATAATAATGGGTCGTGCAGCTCCAGAATAACATGGCTGAAGGCCCAAAGCAAGCACTCGTATTTCACGTCTGGAACCCTAATTCCGATTTTTGGGAACTAATGCCAGCACCATATACTTCCAATCTGTAGTTGCACGATCACAAACCTCATCATGTAACACTCCCAGAACGCCGTCCAATGCAACATGTAACCACCCGAATCCCTTCTCCTCCTTCCAACCTTTTTTCAAACATCCTTCATGAGTTCTTCCAACTCATCGTCGTCATCCCAGTTTCCTCCTCTCCTATTGACGACAATCTTCTGCTCGTCCTTCTCCTGCTGCTCTGCTACCGCTCCCAGAATCTCCTTGAGCTGCTCTTCCGTCACCTTTTGTCGTAATTGGCCTGTTCGGGCAAGCATTATGAGGCGGTTTTCGATGTCGGTTGCGCGTGATTCTTTGACGAGGCGGATGCGTCCTAGGCGGTCGGCTGCTTCGGGGAGGAGGATTTGTGAGAGGATGGAAGAGCGTTGGTCGGCTGGTATGTAGGGTTAGTAGCTGGTGGTGGGGGTTGGAGGGGTATGTAGAGAAAGGAGTATGCGCCTGGGGGTACTTCTGAAGACATACCCTCTTGTTGCCTGCGACAATGTCTTAGTAAACAAACTCTAAATTTCCTGCTTTGGTATATTTACTTTCGCGAATCTTGTTCCGAGCCCTCGCCGCCTTGTCCTCCGCCGCCCCCACCTTGTTGCTGTAGCTGCTGCAGGCGCGCGCGTCTGATTTGCTCGAGATCTTCGTCGGACATGTTGTTACTATGGAGAGGCTTCGTGCTCTTTACGCGATATTTTGTTCTGAAAAGTAGGTCTGCGGCGCAAGTACTGGTCGAGGAAAAGTGTGTTTATGCGGGGAAGTTCGGGGGTCTCTGCTGCAAGGGCACGGATCATCTCCATGTTCTCTCTCTTCGCTCACCAGTGTGATGCAAGCATCACTAAATTGTCATGTCTCTTCCCATGCATCAAAGATCTCATAGGATTGCTCTGTTGTCAAAGCTGCAAACGTTTTCTCACAAGAACGTCTTCATGAAGAAGCTTATGCTTCCCAAGTTGGAGCATAGCTTTGTAGCTTCTTGAAGGTATTTGCTGCACCCTATGTTATGCCAATCGTGGCATGTGGCGTCATAGGTATCTCAAGGATGAGTGTTACCCTCAGATTTTGCACGGCATAAGGATGAGCCTTTTCGGATGAAATTGGTTCGCAAACAGAAGCGCTTCTAACGTTGCTTAAGAGCAGCATGAGCCTGTCATACTCAGATATGCATCAAATGTCGAAAGCACCATCTCGCACAAGAACTGAGAACGTGGCTGATATCATTCTCAGGATCCTTAGTCACACTGCTCACAAAGGATGCAACGTGCATAAGAAAAACTTCCAACGGCTTTCGAGGGTTCCGCGACCTGTCCTCATAGCACCCACACCCCAATCGAACCGGAGATCCTGATTCGCCTACGCAGATCAAAGACAGCATGCTTATAGCTGCCGAGGCATTGCTCGCCGGTAAAGCCTTAAAAAAAAACATCTCAATGTTCATCTTTGCGACTTGTCTACTACGTTCCTTCGATTTAAGTCGATTTGACAAAAAGCAGACCCAGCCATCGAAGGTGCGGCTGAACTTCGACCCCGCGTAGTTGCCTAGCGTGCTTCAACTTGCAGCCCTTCATGACTGTCAGTACCACTCCTTTATCTATTCTGACTCATCACACCTTCTCCTGCACTTTGAAATGAGCCGCAATGAAAGGAAATCCTCCACTAAAGAGGTCATTCAAGAAACCCTCCGTCTCGGTATTGGTCATGCTACGAACTCGCTCGAAGCACGAACCGTCCGGCAATTGTTACACGACGTAGGCCGCACCTCAGCTCTAGGGCACGCCTCAGCTCCCATCATATGTCCAGAAGACCACGTTAAACTGCACGAACTATGTAAAGCCTGCAAATTGTTTACCCAGCGTGCAGTAGCGCTGAAGTGGCTTGATGATTCCATCCCCCATTCGAACTGGCCTCCACGGGAGCGTTACAGACTTTGTACTGTAGCTCACTTGCAACGACTGAACGGACGCTGCCATTTCTGTACGACCCTGTACTACTTCGTTGCACGTCTGAAATCATATGGGAGTGACGGTGACCTTGACAACAATTGGCTGTATTTCGATATCCTGCAAGGTCATAAGCCTTGGGAACACGGTTATGTAGAGCTCGTTGCATCATTGTATCCAAGGCATTTGTATGTGAAAAAGCTGGATCTATGTTTGCAGGAAGGTATGTGAGGCTGCGAGCGCAAGCGAAATAAGGCACTGATTCTTGTTCAGATGAAAGGAATACAATTTATCCGGATACCGTCCCACTCCGCTCAAATGACAACACTGAACGTTTGCGACAATGGATCGAAAGTTGCTTGGAAGATCATGGCACATGTCGGGCTACCAATGATGATTCAATCGCATCTGCAACGAAGCCTGACAGGATGCTTGCGATTGACGGCGACAGGGTCAAGCTTGTTTGCAATTGGTCTGAATCAGGCGGTTTCAAGTACCTTGCGTTAAGCCATATGTGGGGTATCGACGCCACACAGCAGCTGCGACTAGTTCTGTCACGGCTCGAAGAGTTCCAGGAAGAGATACCCTGGTTGGAACTCCCTTTCATCTTCAAAGAGGCGATCAGGATGGCTCGGCAGGTTGGCTACAATTATATCTGGATTGACTCGTAAGTCCCACATGAACACACTTTACGTCCCGATATCTGCGCTGACTACTTGACTACATGGCTTAGGCTTTGTATCATACAAGACTCAGTGAGTGACTGGGCAAAGGAAGCTCCTAAGATGGCCCATGTTTACGGGCATGCGGACTGCACCATCGCTTATCTTCTACCCCCACAAGATGTGTTCACCGAACCACGAAGAGACCCAAGAATTTGGTATCCTTGCATTCTTCGTTTTCCCAGTCATGGAAAAAGAGGGATGTATATTTGTCCGGACATGGATGAGGAAATCGTCAGGAGCAATGATGGCTATGGGGACGATGATATCAAATGGCTCTCACCGAACAACTGGCCACTATTTAAGCGAGCCTGGACATTCCAGGAGTATCTCCTTAGTCCTCGCATAGTGTTTGTAGGCCACCAAAATCTCATGTGGGAGTGTTCGGAATCACGCTGTGATGAGATTATTGGGCCACTCAAAGCGTTTCCTGGATCCATAGCCTCAAAAGCTCATTTATCTGCTGTCGGATCGATCACACTTCCAGAAAACACTCTAGCTGCGCAGCTAAAATCCGTTGGAGATTGGGAGCAACTGATCCATGATTACCGCGCACGGGCTTTGACGCAACCTAAGGACCGTATCATGGCTTTTGCCGGGATCGCACAAGCTGCCCACAGCAGCAATCGAATGACCTATATGGCGGGATCCTGGGAGCAGATGTTTCCATTTTCATTCACCTGGAGCGTGTTCTTTCGAAAGCCGAGCAAAACAGAAACAAGAGAGGCGAGCGCAGGCATCGTCCGTGAAGCAGTCACTGACGCAGCGCCTTCTTGGTCATGGTTCTCGGTCCCCATATTCACGCATCACGAATTCGCTTTTCACGTCAACCAGGATCTGCGAATAATGCTAAGTTATTCGGAGAAGAACAAGATTGAACCGATGTATCAAACCACCCTGCTTTCCTCGGGAGACAGATCGCGAGAGGTCCATGCTAAGTCCTTAACGACCGAAGCATTCTGCAGTTTTACAAGGATGACCCTGGATATCCTCATCAAGACATGCATTGTTTTTCTGTGGCACTCTATAGAGCACGATTTGGGGTATAGAACAATCGCACAACAATTCGAGAAGCTTGTGGGGAAGAAGTACGGTACTTTTCAGTACTATCTCGACCGACCTGACGAGCTGCATGATCACTCTGACAAGGTAACTCTCGGGCTTCTCCTCGAACTCCGTACAGGGCATGATTCGGAACTGAGTCGAGGGTATGGGGGGCGCTAATTGGTAGGATTGTTGATGCAGCCAGAGTCCAGCTGTGAAGCCTACAAGCGTATCGGTTTATGGTCTCTGAAGATAGCACCTGATCCAGCAGGCTGGGAGGCCAACACATTTAAAATGGTTTCGATCTTCGACCAACTTGAAGGCGTTCGTTCAGAGCACATCAGGCTGGTCTAATAAAAAGGGTCAGCTTAATGCATTCTGAGCGCAGGTGCTATTCAATAGGCGCAGGTGTGTAATTACATAATCATTAATGTAAATTTGCTTTATGGTATAGCTCGCTGTGCTACCGAAGGTTGCAAGGTTCTCAGATACGACCTTTACGTCTAACTACCCGCTTCTACACTCACGCTCATGTCCACCTTTAGCCAGCCGCGAATTTACTAGTACTCCTCAACTTCTCTCCAAACCTCCACAGCATAAACGGAGCCGGAACACCTAATGCCAGCGCAATAAACCCCAGCACACTATTCCCCCATCCAAAATCCAACTTATTATACATGGCCGGCGCAAACAACGGAAACCCAAATCCAGCCAACGACCTAAGCACCGTCGCCGCCGCAATAGCACTCGCCGCATACCTCGTATAGCTATCCACAAGATACGTCTGAATACACTGAAACCCTATAATGACACCAGCGCAAAAGATAGCAGCACCAATATTCGGCATGATCCAATGGACCTGAGCCTGTGCACTCCAGCCATACCAGAAGAGGCCAATGGGAACGAGCAGCGATGCAGGAATCATGATAGGAACACGGAATTCTGGTTTACCGACGCCGTTGTTGCGCTTCTTTAGGCGGCGGTAGAGAGCGTCGTTGAGCGGAGCGGTGATTTGCGTGCCGAGGAAGAAACCGACGCCCATGGAGATGAAGTTTAGCGAACCGATGCCCGTAGACATGCCGTAGCGCGTGACCCATAAGCTGGGGAAGGTGGAAAGCATGAGGTACATGAGTCCGTACAGGTAAGCCATGTAGCATGCAAGCACCTGGATGATAGGTTGGGTACCGAGGAGCTTGAAGGGTCTCACCATGGCGATTTTGATCGTCGTTGCAAGCGTGCGGTCGGGGCTATCGAATTCTGTGTGTAGTTGTTGGTTGCCGGTCTCTTTGCGTAGCTTGTTTCGCTTCCACTCGAGGAGCTTGGGTGCGTATGTTTCTTGGAGGAAGAAGAAGCCGAAACATTGTACCATTGCGGTGAAGATGGTGGTGGCGTAGAAACACCATCTCCAAGTCGTGTTTTGGGAAATGAAACCACCAGCAATGGGACCAATTGCAGGACCCAGCAATGGGGCTAGAGAATAGATTGAGATGGCTCGGCCACGCTGGTCTGCCAGGAAAACATCGCTAAGAACGCCCTTGGGGGAAAGTCAGATTAAGGTTTCGGCATTGATTGTCGAGGAGTTACTTACACCACCAATAGCCAACGGCGCAGATCCGCCTAGGCCACTGAAGAATCGGAATGCCATGAGTTGACCAGACGTTTGAGCAAATCCACAACCCAAGTTCCAAGCCAAGTAGAATAGGTTAGATAGCTGTAGGACGAGAACGCGGCCGTAGATCTCAGACAAGGGGCCTAAGAATAGCGGTCCAATCGCATATGCTAGGACGAAAATGGACAGGGTGAGTTGAGCTTCGACTTCATTCGTGATACCGAAGTCAGAACTTATGCTGCTCAGAGCGGGCGATATCATGGACGACGATATTGGTGAGACAAGGGTAAAGCAGGAAACAATTAAGGTCGCTGCCCATTTCCGTTTCATAGACCCTGCGCGTTGTTAGATCAATCTATTTGCACCCAGTAGATAAATCTGGCTTACAATTCTTCGGATTACTAGGATCATTTTCTGAATCCCACGTAACCTTGTACTTGTCAGCTGCTGTAAGACCAGCCAATGGTTGTTAGGTGAACATACCAGATTCGGATCTTTGACCGACCGCGTAGACTTCTTCTTTTCCAATGGTGGTGGTGCTTCAACATCATGTTCATATGGAATACCCCCTCGTATCTCTTCGTAAGTCGTCTCTTCCTCGCGAGTGGCATCGTCTTTTGCTTCCTTCTCGTCTACGTCATCGCCACTGTCGTCATCGTCGCTACTGGCCGTGTTTGCATCTCTTCTTTCAGTCTCGGTCTTGTGCAACGAACTGGCATCAGAGTCGACGTGAATTCCTTCTCCATCTTCATGGTGGTATACGGAATGATCATCCGGAAATTGGCTGGACAGAATACGGTGTAGTGGTGCGTTGTCGGATCGCCGTGGTCGGGATCTTGACCGACTTCTGGATGCCCTCTGAGGTCGCGATTGCCTCGAACTCTCCATGTCTATGCGAAGCTAAAATTGTCGTCCGCGAAGGCTAGAGACCGTGTCGTGTTCCGTATAGCAGATTAAGATTAGTGATACGAGAGTTGGAAACCCAAGTATAGTCCAGTAGATATTCCGCGTCTCTCAAGTATAAAGAAAGATTTGGGTGAAGGAATTAGTATAGCTCGGTGCAAAGCCAAGCGATTAAAGTAGTTTTAAAAAGGTCGTGTATACGGCGAACTTCGCTACTAGAACGGAGTGTCGCCTTCGGGTTTAAGCAGCCGTAGAACGAATCTCCGTGGGTCGCGTGCCCCACAACGTAGTTCAGCATCCTCGGTGCGTCGGTGGACATTATCTCCCGGGCCGAAAGGAGAAGCGACTCGATGCGATTAATTATGCGGTGTGTTTTAGCTGTGGCGTTGAAGCTTGTTGATATTTTAACTGCTGACGAGTTGAGATGACGTCAAGGGTTGCTGATTTCCGGCGCTACTGTCGCGTCGAGTAGAGATATATCCGGTGTCGCGACTCCAGCTCCCAGACCGAGCTCCAGAAAATTTCGAGTTCTGCATGTTTCAACATCTGCACTGTCCATCAGCAACGCGATTAATCATCTGGTTAGCCTGAGAGTAGTAACGGCGAGTGGGAAGGTTTTCGCATTCCTTGACTGACTGCATAGCATACATTTCATGGCGTTTTGTGTACAGCTAAGTGCTACTGGAACATTCAGTTGACGACCACCAAAGGGCGAGGCGTCAACTTCGTGCCGTGGCTGAACAGGTTGTCAGGGTCGTACTTATGCTTGAGCTCCTCAAGTCGCTTGACGTTTGCGCCGAAAATCTCGTTCGCCTCAACACCAGCGGAAGCATAGTTGCCGTACTGAGCCACGCCGCCATCCTTTGACCAGTCTGCAGCAGTTACTGAGGCTTTCTTGAGAAGGTTTCGTGAAAATGTACGAATCTCACCGTCGAGTGAGGGCTCGAACCTGTGCGTTCGTTAGAATTGAGCTCCATAAAGCGCTGTACCAACTCACCATTTCATCATCACTGCGACATTGTAGTAATCGCCACGGTTCGAGAACGCCATCTTGTCGTTGGAAACCTCTATGACCTTCTGGTAAGGAACAGCTTCGAAAAGTATCATGCTTTCGTTCATTCGTTCGTGCGAAGCTACAAAAGCGTTGAACTCTGCATGAAGTTGCACAGCGAAGCTTGAGTCTATTGGGAGCTTGAAAGCACCTCCACCGAAAAGCTTGCGCCCGTCAAATCCGGCTCCCTGATTAAGAAGGCTATTCAGCTGTGGGTAAGGTATCATGGCAGTCATGTTGGCTACAGGGCCAAGTTCAAACAGGTCAGCGAAGAAAGCTTTTCCTTCTTCCTCAGTGCCGTTATGGAAGATCTGGCAAAGTACGACAGGTGCATTTGCGGGCGGCGGAGCGGAGAAACCCATGAGCATGGCTTGGTTGCCGTCATTTGTAGTGTGGAACTTGTTCAGGAACTCAACGATCTGCGGTATCTTGTCCGGAAGGAAGACCAAAGGTCCTGCAAAGACAGAATTCTTCTGTGCATAGCCCTGGAACGTGAATGCCGTTGCTACGCCAAAGTTCTGGCCTGCGCCTCGCACAGCCCAATAGAGGTCGGGATTCGAATCTGCTGATGCGACGACTTGCTCACCAGAAGCGAGGACCATGTCAACAGACAAGAGGTTATCTAGGTGATATCAGTTGTGTAAGCTTCGCCGGTTGATTAGATATAGGAGAACATACCAATTGTCAAGCCGTACTTTCCAGTGAGATAACCATAGCCCCCTCCTAGTGTCAAACCTCCTACACCGGTATGGTTAACCGTACCTCCGACAGTCGCAAGACCAAACTTGGCAGCTTCAACATCAACGTCTTCCCATATAGTTCCTCCTTCGGCTTTGATAGTTTTGGCATCCACGTCAACTGTCACCTTGCGCATCTTAGAAAGATCGATGACGATGCCATCCTCGATAGACGCAGCTCCAGAAGTGCTGTGACCTCCTCCTGTAACGAAGGAGTCAATGTGTGCTTTATGCGCGTCTGTTACATGGGCATTCTTACCTCGGACTGTGAACGGGATGCTGTGCTCGCGTATCTGAGCTAAAGTTGCGGAAACGTCATCCGCAGACCGAACTCTGATTACAGCAGCCTTTCCTTGTATAAGTGCAATGCTCCGATATAGACTCGACCTTGCAGGTAGGTGTAATCAGGTAAACTCACAGCTCGTTTGATGCAGTGCTCACTCCACCTTTCGATGCTCTTCTCGTACTCTTCGCCATCACCTGGAAGTAGGACTTCAGCAGTCGTATCCTTTAGCAGCTCTTTGAGCGAAGGATAGTCAAATTTCCCAGATCCTGATACCATTTCGGTGGTTTGGAGGGATAGTCGGCGGAGAATGAATGAGGATAATCCCGATGAAAGCTTGTCTGTTGATTAGAAAATGGACCTGGCGTAACGTGCCGATTGAAAAAGTCCACAGTACCGGATAGGGCACTTATTGATATAATCTTGATGAGTCGTATAGAAATAGCGGGATTATATCGGGCTGGGCACAAGCTGAGTAAAGGTAAGGCTGTTGAGCGTGAGGCGCATGATGATAGCGCATGGTGGGGTACAAGTTATAGGTGGGTCGACCGAGGTCGCATCCAACGGATCGGAAGCATGACAGATGCAAAGTCTCCTCGTCGATGTTGATAAGATTACCGGACGTCGATACGCACAGTGTCCGCATTTTCAAGACATATGCCCATGGCAGATGAAGCATGATCTAGCAATTTCCCTGTGTGCTTAGCGAAGGCTTTCTGGAGCCTGTACTAACGCCAGAGTATGCAGCGAACAAGCTTGGCCGAAGAAGTGTCGGCCTGCGCATGGATAAGTCCCATGGTTTGACATCGAGGTCGGGCGATGTGGGGTATAGAATCAGCTGGCATATGATTGGACGGAAGTGGTGAGGGCAGCAGAGCTTAGCGTGGACCCTGGAGTGAAAGATGCGGCGAACTTTCTCTCCTCCGACGCGAGTGCATTATTCGACAACTTCCAGAGTCGCCGCTCGACCATGCTAAAGACGAGGGGCTTGCAGTCAGTTTGTGCATCATGCCGACTGAATATCGCAATTTCACGAGCGCGTAGCGCAAGATTACCAGCCCAGACACGACCCGCGCCGCGACAACTACCTTTGTTCGCCTCCAAATTTACAACGCCACAGAGAGCATTCTCCACAACACTCGGAACGAGACAGTTAGAGCAATACCATGCGACAAATACGGAAGACGAGCCTCCTTCTGCGACCGAAGCGGTGAATTACGAAGTCAACGCGCGGAGGGCGAGGCAGCAATTCGGTGATACGTTACCGCGCGACCACCTGAGCGAAGAGGAATACACAATATACAAGAGACTGTACGGCCCAGCAATTTTCGTGGATCCTGCCGCAGACATAGAAGAACTTGGTGATATAGCTGAGGAGGAGATTATTGAGCAAGAACGACCCGATGGTTCTACTGTCTTGTTGCGGAAGGGAAAGGATGGCGGGCTTGAAGAGATTGAGCTCGTCGAAGAAGTCGAGGTTGAGGAGGATATGGCTCCTGAAGAAGCTGAGCTGGACAAAGAAACCATGACACCGGAAGAATGGGAAGCGCGCAGAGAGAACGAGGCACAGGCGTATCACGACGAAATCTACGAGCAAAGTCGGCTGCAACAAGAGGAAGCAGAGGCTTGGGAAGATATGGAAGAAGAGCAAGAGGAAGATAATTTCATGCGTGCACATCCACTGACCATCGCCGGTCGCTTCAAGCCATCGCCCTCGACCGTCTTCCTGCCCAAAGAAACTCTCGTCGATCCTACTGCGCTGCTTCTGACACGCGCGAATCACAAACACCTTGCCGAATCTGCGAACCGCATCTTTGGCGGTCGCGGTCTGCCTTACTCGGCCAGTACAAGTCCTGCACGATTGGGCAATGAACAAAAGCCAATTCCACTGGACCCATCGCAATCGGAAATGGGCAACATCGAAGCTGATGTATACATGGCTTCCGTACAGCCAGGCACATACGCAAGCGTAATGAGCGCCATGGTCGAAGTTCGCAGGCGACTGGGAACAGGATGGCTCGAACACATGCTACAGAACAAGAAAGGTGGCACTATACTAGACGCTGGTTCTGGAGGCGTTGGTGTACTTGCCTGGCACGAGATGCTAGAGGCGGAATGGCAACGCATGCACGAAGAATCAGGAAATACGTCGCATGGTGCTACCCCGTTGGGAAAGGCAACTGTTTTGACTGCATCTGATACGCTCCGTCACCGCGCAAGCAAACTGCTGGACAACACTACGTTTATTCCGCGACTACCAGAGACAGTGACAGCGGCCGACGAGGGTAACACGCAGCAACCGCGCAAGTACTATGATGTCATCATCGCACCACACACGCTCTGGCCTATCAGGCAAGATTATCTGCGCAGGGAACAAGTTGAGAAATACTGGTCCCTGTTAAACCCCAAGGGTGGTGTTCTCATTCTCATTGAGAAGGGTCTCCCACGAGGATTTGAAGTCGTAGCCGCCGCCCGCTCATACCTTCTGAACAAGCACATCTCCTCTCCTGGCTCAGAAACTCTCGAGACGCTACTTGAATCTCAGGTCTCAAAACCCGATCAAGACACCAGGTTCACTGAGAAAGAGACGGGAATGATTGTTGCGCCATGCACCAACCACAACTCATGCCCCATGTACCAGTCCACAGGTGTCAGCCAAGGTAGGAAAGACTTTTGTTTCTTCAGCCAGCGCTATATTCGACCTCCGTACCTCCAACGCATCTTGAATGCAAAGGACAAGAACCACGAGGATGTGCAGTTCAGCTACCTGGCTGTCCAGCGTGGACGTGATCAACGCCTTCCACAACACGACGTCCTCGGCAAAGGGTTCGTGCAAGGGGAAGCCTCGACCGCTGCTGCATTTGAGGGACACGAGTGGCGCGCACCGTCGAACCCAGAAATCGAAGAGCCCGTC